ACTACTACTACTACGACGACGACGTTACTACACTACTGTCCCTATACTCTAACGGCGACGACGACATTCCTAATTCTATTGACACTCGACGGCGTGTCGAGGCTAATGTCGCGAATGTTTTTCATCGGGTTGCCGATGGTCCTGCTTTCGCTGCAGGCAGACCGGGGGATTCGGGGTTCTGGGCTTGCGGCTTTAGAGCTTTGTTCTTTTTTGGATTCTGCATTATGCGTTTTGCTATCACTGTGGAGTCCAGGGCCACAGCCCGAGACTGATAAGAAGTCCTACATTCGCAGACCTGAGTGCTCCCTGCAGGGTCTGAACCCTGCCCCCCAAGCCCCCAAGCGGGTTCAACAGGCCCTGAACCTTTCAATGATTTCCTCCAAGCTGGGCGCAGATGGACCTGTGTGTGCCAAAGATCTCGATGATGCCGTCGAGCGGCATCGTCGGGCTCTTCGTCTGCGGAGGCGGCACTATGTGCGGGGTTTCCAGTGTGGGGCCGCAGGTGTGATTGGAGTCTGAGTTGAGGGGTGGTTTGCTTGTGTGCAGATTCCGAAGGCTTGGCTTGCAAGGTTTTCCACACGTAGCAAATTGCGTTAGGACGAGATGGTGCTTCGCATGCCTCAAGCTGTGGAAGGCATCATCCTCATTAGCATCAAGTTCTGTGCGATGTGTGCTTGCCTGGCCAGCCAGAAGCTGCCTCAGGCCAGGGAAGGGACCCAGGCGACGTTTCAGGAGCACATGCCTGTGGCACCCCAAATGCCCTAAAAGGCCTTAAACCAAACCCTCCAAGCGCGATTGGAAGACCGGGAAGACTTGTGGCCGCAAAGAGATTCGTTCGACAGGGCCCGTGTTTAGTTTAGCCACCCATTCCACGGACCCTCGCAATGACCGGTGGCTCGGCCCTACTGGGTCAAGTTCTTTGGATGAGTTTCTATGTCAGGCTCTCGTCCTGGCTGTGCTCCTCTCTGCCGACTGGATTGGCACCCTGCCCTGCCCTGAACTTGCGGGGCTTGAATCGAAATTCCTATTGCTTACCTTGCGCCTGCTGACAACCTACTACCTACCACCCCTTTGTGTAAACTACGGTGGCCCTAGGATGCCGGTGTCGACGATTGGTACTGGTAGAGAGCAAGAACACGGACGACTCTTCTTGCTCTTGTCGCTTCTAGCCAGTCGCATGTTCAGGGCAGGAGCACGGGGCTTTCGAAACCGAGGCACGTGATGGACCTGGTCTCCGACTCCTTTAAGGCATCGTCCGGAGCACGGTTAAAGGGCCGAGTTCCTCCTGCGACGAAGTACAGGATAGCCTGTTGTCTTATTTGCTTTTACTCTCTCAGGACAGCGTGCTGCTAAACCTTCTCTTCATCTCAGGCTCGGAGCCCGGAATGTGCGGAGACCTGCGGCTTAGGATTTGCAGCTAAGGTGAGGCCCTGGTGTAGGCGAGTAGATGCCGGTGTGACGTTCGGCCGATCGGACCTACCTCAAAGCTGAAAGCCTGAAGCCCCTCAAAATCCAAGCCGTGGATGCCACTGACGGAGGTGTGGTGCTGCTCCGGAGCGTTCTTTTGAGGCCAAGGGCCGCTCCCACTCTTTATGAAGACGAAGTTTAATGGTGCACGAAGGCCTTTGCGTGTCTTTGCATCAGTCCGCAGCCTCCCACGGACCAAGTCCTTTGGAAGGCTTCACCTCCGCTCACGGTGGCAGAGGGCCTTGGCACAGCGCCGGGCGAGGCCCGGGGACTCTTGGACTTCCCCAGAAATGGCAGAAAGGCTCTTGCAAAGCCGCCCCGCCGCGGAGGAACATTGGGGCCGACCTCGGCTCCTCCATCAACCAGGGGCCCTGAGCTTGTCTGTCTCGTAACGGCAGCATGCTGCTGGTTATCCGTCATGTTATGCTGATTCTCTTGATTATCAATCCTTATTGCCGTTGTTGTGGTCGTGGTTCTGGTCATGGCGGTGGTTGTGGTTGTCGTTGTGGTGGTTGTGATTGTTGTTGTGGTTGTTGTTGTTGTTGTTGCTGCTGCTGCAAGTATTTTACCATATATAACTAGAACAGTCCATGTTCTCAATACTACCAAACTACCCATTCTACTCTTCCGGTCTTTGTGTTTCCAGGTTCAGCGAGCAGAGTACTTGTGTTTGAATGGTAGGCCGGGTAGATTCCAAACTATTTCGCGGCGATGAGGAATGCTGGCAATGTAGCTCTTAGACTTGAGGATGTAGGTTTCGAGTTTCGGGCACCGGGGGTTAGGGTTACAGGTCTCATCTACAATGGTACGAGGGAGCTCCGTGAAGCATGGAACAGAATCTGTGTTATGCGCCGCATGCTTGCAAGTTGGACAAGTTAGTGGACGTTGTATCAGAAAGGAGACGCTACCGACTGAGCATTAGTTGAGCCTGCGCATCGTCGGTCGCAGAGTGGCAAAGTCAACGGCCATAATAAGGTTTGTCGCCTCGCTGTGCCAGCACTGGTACTCGTATTCCGTGCGACAGTCGAAGTCGAAGCAGGATTGTCTCATGATCAGGATGACTGTACTACACGGACAAGATCATCTGAGAGTAGAGTTTAGATATGTAGATGGGTTGGGCCAGATTGCAGAGATTGCGTTGCGCAGGGATTCGAACGTCCTGCTTTGCTGAGGGAGAGTGTGTCGTCGGACAGCGACAACGAACAGGGGTCGGGCACCCGAGCTTCATGGAGGGCCTGTGCTCAGCTTCTCTTGCCCACGCTTTGCCAAAGATCCGCCATCCCAGTGCATTGCAAGCGTTTTTCATCAGGCCTGGCAGCCTGCCGGAGACGTTCCACGAGGCCTTTCTCCCGCCGTGGCGAGACGTAGGGCGAGAGACGCCTCACGAACGACAGCAATATTGCTGAACTCGCATCCCCTCACGCTCAAAGCCTCATGCGAGACACAGGTGTTGTACTGGTCAACACAGGGGTAGTCGCCCCTCACCCGACCCTGCCCTTGGTCGCTACTGCCATCACCATCACATCAAGAAAGCCTGAAGCCGGAACTCTGTTCAGGCTCTGGTGGTTCTCTTGGGATTCAGCCTGGGCACCCAGGCGCAGAACTCCCGGAGGCCTTGAAGGGTCTCTGGGCCGTGAGCTGAAGGGCGTAGGGTTTCGGGAGTTGCGTCGGGCTTCGTCAGCTGCCTTCTATGCCCCTAAGCTTCGTATTCGGTATTTCCTTCTCTGCAGCAGGCAATTCCTCTGTGGTGTACGGCTGGCCAGGGACCAAGGTGAGAGGGTTTTGAGGTGGCTGTTGGTGGCGGAAGCAGGGAGTTGTCGTTGTTGCTCAGAATCCTTCAGTCATATAACATGGCCATAGCGCCCGAGGCTAGATCGGTCGCTCTAAGGGCGTCGCCACCAAGCATTCCTCCCAATGTCATCTTTTGTGACTGAGAGTCTAGAGATTGGGGGTTCAGGGGATTTTCGCGGTCGGGGATCAGGAATTGTGGCAGAGGGTTTGCAAGGTCAAGTTATGTCGAGGCCCAGCCGCCACCGGCCCCACCAGCGGCAGCCGCGACTGCACAAACCGCGCCTGGCATCGTCATGCCCACGGACGGTGGTCTGGGCGAGGACGGAGGCACCTTCGAAGTCACAGAATTTCATTACAAAAAACACAAATAACACTATGAGAGTTCTGGAGTCCTCGCGACGATGTGGACATGGTGCTCTATGCTCAAGCCTGCGTAATGGGTTTCTTGGTTATGAAAGTAAGACAGTAAGACGGGGGAACTTGTCTTGGAAGCTCGGCATCTTTAAACAGAACTTCCTGGGTTTTCTTGTTCTCGGACACTGGCCGTAAAATAAAAGTGTAAGATAACCGGGGAGGCTCTCGGCTTGAAGCGAAACCGGACGACTGAGTCTGCTTAAACGGCTCGAGTGCTTCTGCCGCTCACCTGGGCAACTGCGTCAGAAAGCACGGCGACGGTGGTTGGGTCTTCACACGTCAGTTTTATTTCAGACGCGGAGGCGAATAGCAAGAAATGCGGATACGACCATTCCGAAGTCAAGCTTTTCGTTTAGGAGACCAGTGAGGCTGAGAGGATACTGCTTGAACGTAGGTTCGACGAAGTGTGCCTTTGGCCCGTCTCCATGTCCGCCGTGTTCATACCGTACTAAGAAAAGCAAAGAGCTGATGGAAGGCGCACGAACTTTGAAATTTCAACTGGCTCTTCTGCGCTATGTTACATTAGGCAGTATGGAACTATACGGTATTGTAGCATACTATAAGTCATTGCAATGTTCTACTCTATTTAATTCTATTGAGGTCTAATATGTTCTTGTCTGGTATGTTATTCTGATATGTTATGTTATTCTACCTTCTCATCTTATCTGACATTATGTTATGCTGCAGTTATGCTATGTTCTGATATATCATATCACATCTTTATCATATCGTATCAGATATCATAAATCATATCATGTCAGATCATGTTATACCATATCGTATCGTGTCATACCGTATCTTATCATATCATGTCAGACTTGTATTCTGGTTTCAACAAATCTAGAGCTCAAACGCCGCCCCTGAACCCGAAAAGGTAGTCGTGAGATGCTCTAGTTTCGGATAGCCGTGCCTGTCTCGAGTCGAAACCCGAAAATGGCGGCGAAAATGCTTTAATCTGGCTTCCAAGTGGCTAAACCGCTTTTGGAAGGGAAGCGGCTCAAATTTTGAAGCGACTTGAACCTGCCGTAATGGGCCGAGAGCTGTCTGAGAGAAAAGTAGTTTACTGGCTTCAGATGCATTCTTGAATGTGTTTTTGCCCTATGGTTTGAGGTTGTGATCCATTGGCAGGGCACCATAACAAACCTTGCATCATAGCAGGCTTCTCCTATCTGTATGTCCATACTGTTTGGAGCCTTCACCGGCGCTAATATTTTGTTATACTGTATTATATATTAAACTACATTATGTTACAATATGTTATGTTGTGTTTTACTACACTATATATGTTATTAGTATTTTATATGGTATGATACTATATTGTATTATAGTATGTTATATTATGTTATATCATGTTACATTATGTTATATTATGCCGCATTATATTCTACTGTATTGTATTATATGACGGTAGATTACACTGTTTGATATTAAAATGCGTTATGTGACATTCTATTATGTGATAATATATTATATGGTATGAAACGGCATGATGTGATATGCTGTTATATGATATTATATGATCTGAAATTATGTAGTAAGATATTACCAAATATATTTTATGTTGCACTATATGATATATACTATATTGTATATTGCATTCTAGCATTTTATATCACAATTCATTCTAACATAACATATCAGTTCTATGACATCATATTGGAACGTGCCCGGAACCGCCTGCAAAGTTCTCAATGAAGTCCCCCGGTTTGCCCTCTGCAGGTGTGACCCCGTCGCTCCCGCTGCCCGGCGCTTGGTGGGCAGAACCAGCTAAGGCAGTTTAAGGTGTCAGGTGTAGTTTCAGTTCAGCTAATCTGCCGAAAACAATTCATGGTTGTTGCAACCAAGGGAGCACGAGAGCCAAGAAAGGTGACCTTCGAAAAGCAAGACAGCAAGCACGTCAGCAGGACACGAGTAAGTAAACGAGACAAGCAACCTGTGGTCGTCCACCGCCTCGTCTGCATCCTCGTTCTCGTTACTTCTTCCACGTGCTGCTCCTCGTCTTGAACAATTTCATCAGCATCTCTATCGTCATTATCATCGCCACCTCCGCCATCATTATCACAATCACCATCACCCAGTCCATGCAAACCAGAAAGTGCGAACGGTCTAGCTGCAGGCCTCAGGGCACTGCTCCAGCAGCAGGTGGGGTCCAAAGCGGCAACTCTTGCTTGGATTGTTTGGGATGTAGGGGTCAGTTGCATCAAATACTATCTACCCCTCACCAGGCCGACGAGAGCAAGGTACAGAGTCTTGCCAGAACGTCGAATGAGTGTGCAGCTGTTTGATTATGCAGCATCGTAGTATAGCGAGGTCCTGCTAGGCCAAGAGTTGATTCCTGTACGCTGCGGTGAAGGCGCCGAAGGCACCGGGCTCACGCCACTCGAAATCTCGTGCCCCATCAAGAAAGGATGCGTCTGGGATTTCATGCTGATTCAGGTGTGCACACTAGAAAGCCCCACACCCTACCAAATAGCAATGCCAAAGCCGGTTGCAGAATCTGCCCACCAAACATGCCACAACTGCACACACTCGCACAGGTACGATGAGCGAGTTTGCGTGGTGTGCCAGGTCCGCATCTTCTGGGCTACATTGGCTATTATGCGCACTGCAGCAGATCTCTTGTCAAATCGCCCATTTCTTCTGGCCGCGCTTGGCGATAGTGTCGCTTTTGCCCGCTCTTTGGGAAGCTGTGCCTGGTAAGACTGTTGTCATTGCTTCGGCCAGTGTGACCCCTCCCGAAGCAAAGCCCCACTGTCAAGTTGCTCCTCACGACTGTAGGCCCCTAGACCTTTGCAGTACTGACCGGGCACGCCAGCCAGGACGAGATTCGCCCGGGAGATCGTGTGAGGTGCCAGCAAGGGGAATGCCATGCAGCAATAACTTTGAAAGCATCCAAAACAAACCTTTTCCTCAAAACGTGAACACACACACACACACCACGTTTACCGCGCTTTTGCAACTCTTACGTACCCATGGACCGTGCCAAAACCCCATTGTCATTAAGGCGCGCGCGTTAGCAAAAATGGGAGTAGGAGTAGGAGTAGGAACATATAGGAGTGGGGGTGGGAGTAGGCTAGTGCCATCTTCATCCTTATCAGCCTTCTCATATTCAACGAAGACTGTGCGACTGCGAGAGTCCATGCAACAATCTCGACGATTCTGTCCGCAGCATCGGAAGAGGCCGCTGCCGAAGTGCAACCACGTCTTCCATGCGGCCTGCCTGGAGCACTGGGCACGTACCATGAGGGAGGCTTGCGTGCCTGGGTTGTGGAATCTGACCAGCCCAAGCCCTTCTCGTCTTTGTCATCAAATGCAGCATGAAATCGGGCAGAACCGAAACCACCCACAGCCTGCACCAGCAATCTTTCTGCAAGATGGACCTGCAAACAAAGACCTGGAACCCTGCGCCCTGAAGCCATAACCCTTCACACACAACTCAGACACAGTCTTCTTGAACATCAGCGACTCCTGCATCCTTACTCGAGAATCCTGTCGCCTCCGATCTGCTATACTCTGACAGGCCCATGTGCTGGAACGGAATTCGCGGCTGCCTCATTCCTGAACAGTGTCCCCATGTAAGCGAAACAAAATCCTTCAAGGCCCTTCCCACTGGTGGCTGTGCAATCTCGGACATTCCTAGATGCAAGTTATCTATGTAGGCCACGCGCTGTCCAACGTGCCGGCGCCCGGCCCTCGCGCGGAAGGAGGGCCAGGCACCCGACAGAGCTTGGAATGGCACTTAATGTAGGAGCCTGGATGTTTGGGGTTACCCAAGGTATTGATATTACAACCCACACAAAGCCAGTCTAACTTGAGATTGGTCCGTGAGCACGGGATGCTACAAAACGCTTCAAGAAAAAGAAGATGACTGCAGTTTGAAAGTCTTCAGTTTTTGTCGTCGCCGCCCGCCCGAGAAAAGGCCAACTCGGATATAATTCCTAATTGGGCCGAATTTGTGGGTTCTCCGCTGAGCCTTCAGCTTTGTGGAGAACTGTGCTTGCGTGTAGGTGGGCAAGCCAAGACGGGCTCAAGACATGAGATTTGGCCCTGGGAAAACATTTATAGTTTGGTCTGTAATGCTCATCGCACTGCCTGCTGCGCAACAGCCACTAAGTCAAGTAAGTGAAAGAAGCGACGGCTGAATCGCAAGACCCTGAGTTGTGGAGGATGCTCTCGTGATTTTTGCTGGCAAGTTTCGTTGACACACATGCCTTGTTGAGCCAGGCCAGAATGGCTGGGAGGATTGATGTAATGTGAGATTGTCATACCAAAATCCTACTGCGTCTCTTCATTCGAAGATCACAAGAGTTTTTGGCCGTTGGAAGCTCCGTAAGCTCATCATGACTCTCATAAAACTTCGTCATGTCGCAGCAGTGCAGAGATCTTGAACAGCGCAGGGATCCACCAAGATCAGCGAGCTCACAGAGGAGGCGCCCAACAATTGCATGGTTTTAATGTGGGATAGAATACCATATACAGCCAGTTATAGAAAAATCAATAACGCGCAAGAGCAACCGCAACCGTCTGCCTGCCTGCCTGCCTGCCGACCTGCCTGCCTGCCTTTCTGTCTATCTGTCACTGTGTATGTAAATACATCTGCATCTGCGTACGCATGTATTTTGTTTATGTGTATTTGTATGTGTATATACTGTATAAATATATACACGCAGAGATATGTATGCATATATTGTATGTATGCAGTGTATCAGCAGACGCGTGCAGCTACATTGATGTAGCTCTCTCTGCCCTTCCGTCTCTCTCTGTCTCTATCTATCTCTCACTCTATCTCTGTCTCTTTCCATCTCTCTCTCTATCTCTCCCTAGCTCTATTTCTCTGTCTTTCTCTCTCTTTCTCTCTCCCTAGCTCTATTTCTCTCTCTTTCTCTCTCTTCCTCTCTCTTTCTCTCTCTTTCCATCTCTGTCGCTTTCTCTTTCTCGTTTTCTCTCTCTCTCTCTCTTTCTCTCTCTTTCTCTCTCTTCTCTCTCTCTCTCACTCTCTCTTTCTCCTCCCCCTTTTGCTCCTCCTCCTCGTCCTCCTCCTCATACACGTATAAAACGGGTATTGTGCATACATTTTTATATGTATGTACATGTGTAGTACATACAGGCACATATATGTGTATGCCTGTATGTATGTGTATATGTATATATAGCTGCATGAAGTAGGGTATAAATTCGGGGCTTGGTGAGCGTATAGGGCTCCTTTGAGATTTTGGAGAGTGTATATTTTGGGTCTGATTGTGGGGATACTCGTGAAGACCGTACATGCTTTATGTATATGTGTACGCATATACTCACGTGCATATTCCACTGTACACTGCGCGCACATTCGCGCGCATGTGTGTGTTCACGGGTGTGTATGTGGATTCGTTTGTTTACGGGTGTGTGTGTGTGTGTGGATGCGTTTGCATGTGGTTTTTGGGTTTGTGTCTGTGTGTATACGTATGAGTATGTACATGTGTACGTGTGCTTATATGTGCGACTACATACATGTTTGTGTATAGGCACATGCATGTGTACACACATCTGTGTGTATCTTCATGCTACAGCTACAGGTTTTCTACAAGGGTTGTAATGTTAGACTTACATGCGACACCAGCCACCAGGAATCGACGCCGACACCAGCGTCAATGCTCCTTAGATCGCAAGGAAGTTAAACATGATCCGAACTCTCGGAACCTGAACACTGGCCCCACAAGCCTTAAAGCCAGGGTTATGGGTCTCAACAGCCTGTAAAACCTTGCACCCAGAGACTCCTCGCGGCACGGTAAATGAGGAAGCCAGCATTCCCGAAAGGCCATGTCGTCAAGTCTTCCCCTGTCTTTCAATCTGGACTGCAAGCTACAAGTCACTTGCGTCAAACAGTCCATGGCCCTAGAACCGGACCAGTGACGACGAATCCAAAACCCTCAGTCGCAGAACATGTCCAAAGCATGTTCTGTGGTTGCGGAATCGAGCCCGTGTTGTTTTACTTGATTTTAGGCTGCATCGGAGGCAGAGGCCAGAGCATGCAGGAGCACAGCGAGAGGGTTATTGGCCAGATCTTGTTATCGGGCCTCAGAACTGCAACTTCAAGTGCCACTAAGAACCTCTGCTCAACGCCCATATCAACAAACAGACGGAAAATAAGGCGGCCAAGCAAGCCCCGATGGCTTGTCTGACCTAAGGTCCTCCCGTGGTAGCAGAGGCAGAGGATCACCACATTCATAGGTTCAGTTCAGGTTGTTCCGGTCTCTGTTTCCGGGTTGAGGGTTTGTGAGCTTAATCCTGGGGCATGCTGCAGTCTGGAGGCTTGTCACTGACGGAAAGAACTATGATTCCGATCTTTGCCGCATGCACCGTATGTAGCAGACAGCAACCGTTGCTGAAGCTAGAAGGTCACAAGTTGAGCAACCGCTTGTCCCTGAAGCTCACACGCCTGTATCATAAGCATCATCATCTGTGTGCCAGTAGTATCAAAGCTTGTGATTAGACCAAGCGACACGCCTGAGCGCCTTGCTTCTTTTCGTAAAAGTTGCCATAAGTGAAGTTGGCTCAGCTGTACAATCCGGTCCAGGGAGTGAAGGCGCCCGCCGTAGCCGAACGTGGGGGCCTGAGTACGGTCTTGGTTCTCGAGTTTCTTGCCTGGTATTTGGGGGCCTGCGAGACGCTCGAAAGGGCCCCCTGATGTCCCATCCCTGAAAGCCGGAAGTTGTCAATGAAGATCAGGAGGCTACAGCCACCGGGCAGCAGCAGGTACCTGCCTTGCCTGAAATCCTTGCCTGATCCAGAAAGCCATGCGACACAGTGGGAGCGATTTGGTGTTGCCTATTGTGCATTGTTGCGATTGGACCTTGCGCTCTCGATCTTCCGTTCGTGTTTGTCATGGTTTCTTCATATCCGCTAGCATCGGGAAGGGTCCCAGTTTGCAGGAGGCTGCTGTGATCCCTCCCAAAACTCGCGGCATCTTAGTCATAAACATAGTAACAGTCATAGTAGTGTTCATAGTCAGGACCTAGGCGTCTTTCTTTACGCAGCGGGGCTCGGCCAGGACCGGGCGCCGGGCCGCGCGCAGCGCCGAGCAGCGCTCGAGCCAGGTGGCGGCCGCCCGACCGAAGTTTTCAAATCCCTATTATAAATAAATAAATAAATATATATATATATATATATATATATATATATTTTGTAAGTATTATATATGTATATATATATATATTATACCTTTCTTTTTGCTTTTCTTTGAAAAAAGGCACGACGGGTTCCTTGGGTTCAAATTTAGATGGAGGGGTGTGGGCCATAGGTGGTTCATTAAGTTTGTTGTGGTTGTGGCCAGTTTTACAGGTTGCTTTGGGGTTTAAAATTGGGATAAGTTGGGTAGTAAGGTTGTTAGGATAGTGTTGGGGTAGTGTGATGCTTTACATGGGGTCGGCTAATGGGGGGTTCTTCTTGTTTTGATTGTAGGCTGTTGGGGTATGTTCCAGTTCTACAATGATCTGATTGGAAGTTTTGTTATACTGTGTTCATCTTTGAGTCATGCTAGACAGGCAAGATTCATGAGATACTCTTA